TGATGCCACCAGACATTCTGGCTTTAAGAAGACTGCAGCCAATCTGTTGCAGCGGTTCTGGTGGCCCACGATGATGAGAGATGCCAAGCTGTACGTGGAGACTTGTCAGGTCTGTCAGAGAGACGAGCCCCGTACACAGGCCCCTTTTGGGCTGCTCAAGCCTCTTCCGATTCCGGAAAGGCCTGGTGAGAGCTTGTCCATGGACTTCATGGACATACTGGTCACCAACAAGAGCGGAATGAGACACATCTTCGTTATTGTGGATAGATTTAGTAAGTACGCTAGGTTAATTGCCATGCCGGAGACAGCGAAGACCGAGTACGTAATCAGATTGTTTAAGGAGAACTGGGTCAGGGATTTTGGTCTGCCTAAGTCAATCGTGAGTGATAGGGATGTCAGATTCACATGTGAGTTGTGGCAGGCTGCCGCTGTCGAATAGGGAACGCAATTGCAGATGACTTCTGGGAATCACCAGGAGGCCAATGGCCTAGCCGAGCAACTGAGCCACGCTGTCCAACACTTGTTGCGACATTACATCAAGCCCAATCAGGGGACTGGGATGAGAAGCTTGCTCTCATCGCCAGCCTGTATAACAACGTTGTGCACAGCGCCACCGGGGTCAGCCCTAACAGCCTACTACTGACTTTCAAACCTAGACTGCCCCTAGATTCGCATATTGATATGAATAGAAGATGCAGCAGGTAGTGGAACAAATGCAGGAGGCACAAGCGAAAATGATAGAGTCCGAAAACAAACACCACTGCCTGTCTACATTTCAGGTAGGGGACAAAGTTTGGGTTAAGTCCTCAGAACTGGGACAGGAGCACGGGATATCCCACAAGCTCATGCCTTAGTACTTTGGACCATGGGAGGTCTTAGATATTGTTGGGACCGATCCAGATGGGCCTTCCTATGTACTCTGGGTCCCTGGTCACCTCTGTACTTATCCCGTCTTTCACACCTCCAAGCTTGCACCTTTTAAAGAAACCAACCAGTTTCCTTCTCGTCGCTCAATGCTGCCCCCAACCATGGACGGAGAGGTGGACATTGATGACATCGTGGACCACAGAGAACTGCCAGTTCCAAGACCAACAGGCAGAGGACGTCCTCCGAAACCAAAGCTGCAGTATCGAGTTCGGTTCCGGTATCACACGGATCCCAAGGAGGACCGATGGTTTACTAGAGAGGAACTCATGCAGACCGCTCCTCAAGCTATAACTCAATACGAGAAGTCTCTGCGGAAAGAAAAGTGCCAGATTATCGAAGACTGGACTTCTTACAGGACTATTGAAGTTATGGAAGAGGGAATGCGAGGCCAAGGCCCCGATGAGCCCCTTTTGGCCCTGTCATGTAAAACATCAGGCGCCTTAAGTGAAGGCAGGTTTGACGAGGGCCTGAGGGCCCCTATTTTGAAGACCATGCAACTGAGGAACATTCAGGCAGTTGCTCAGCGCCAGTTGGTTGAGAGCACCCAGGCCCAGGCCGCCTGTTTGCATGTATGGAAGGTAGGTCCTAGGCTGGATACGGGATATGGGCCAAACACAGGCCGATGGCAGTTGGGCACAAGTAACCACCACAAGCCGTGGGCCTGATTCGTTTGATCTGGGCCTCAGCCTACCGGGGCCTACCGAAAGCTTCTTGGGAAAGGACCAACGCAGCAGCAGGCTGGCCACTTCCATATAGCAAAGGGCCTGCCTCCGCATTGGAGATTCGGGCACTGACTCCTTTGTGCCAAGCGCTGCCGCGCTATTGCCTGCCAGGCTCACGCGCTCACGGGCGAGTTGGAAGGAGCAGGCAGCCGTAGCCGAGCTGCGCTGTTGTATGCTGGATTTGGCGCATGGTGGTCCTTGGGTGCAAGTGGCATCTGTGAGTTGGGGAACGAGGTTGTGAGGGATACGAGAGACATACTTGGTGCTTGAAGAGTGCGGCATTGGCCGAGATCTGCTCGTACTTCGGGGAGCTGTTGACGTCATCAACGACATTGTAGAGTAGGCCAGATAGAGAGGATCTGCCATCTGTAGTCTAGGTGCCGAGCGCTAGATAGGATATCAACATTGGTTCTTCGTTGATGATGATGATGAGACTATTCCAGCATTGTCAATTATGAGCTTTTGGTGTGCTCTTATTTGGTGAAACTCGTGATGCAATTCTGCTTTTGGTTCGAGGTCACGACTATCTGGTCTTATATGTATGATACTGTTTGGTTGTTGAAGTTCGCTATTGCTCATCTTCCTTGCGCAAGTCTTACTTTGAGTTTTTATCTAACTTAGTATGAATATGGGAAGTCTACTTCTCTAAAGGAGATGCTGCCCAATTTTTTACTAATTCAGGGAGTTTGACAAAATTTGAAGTTGAAGACCATTTTAGTTTCTGTATTCGGGTGAGTATAAATTCCGAGAAGACACTTTTCCTTAGGGAAGCATTGCCAAATTTTTCTTAATTTAAAGGAGTTAGATTGTATACCAATAGGAAAAATTATGTCGATGCACCCTGTACATGGGAGATGTTGCCAAAGGTCTACTTGTCTTTGGGCACTTGCCTAGAGGTAGACTTAAATATGAGAAGATTTTGAGTAGGAACGTGATATGGGGGCTCATTCTCCATACACTACTTATGGTCTAGCCTTAAGCATTGGCGTGTCCTGTGTAACAGGTCCTCATTGAACATTTTAATTCAGGACGGGATTAGTTTCATCTTGATCCCACGAGGATCATCTTCTGTTATCATTGATAACAGGTCGGTTGCCGATTCGTCGGTTCACGACTCAACTCTAATTCACTTTCGTCGCCCCTGTGGTTTGAATTGTTTCGTTGGGTTTTCACCCGGACTTTATTGAATGACCATTTAACAAAGATACTTAGTATTTTTATTATCCAAGGTTGGACAAAGGTTGGGGCTTGTGTGGCTAAAGCTAGGGGTATATGCGTAGAGAGTGGTTGAAGTTGACCCTGTGTAGTGCATGAACTTTGGTTGAATCTTTGATGTGATTGCAGGTATGTTTGTGGTTCGGACTTTGGATTCGACTGTTTGCGATCACATATGTATGATTGAAGAGATCCCCACTGTAATTTTGAGAAGTGATCGTCTCGTATTGTATACCCTTTTTTTTCTTATATATACATATATATATGTATGTCTTGAATGTCCGCACAGCCTACCGCGACCGTGCGTAAGGGCTACACAAGTTATGCTTTGAGAGAAAAGAAAGACCCCTCTTTTTACCTTTTGCTTTTCAAGGTTTGTTATAGTTCGAGGTTGATGCTCGTGGCATCTGTCACAGTCAAACCCCTTGACTTCTCTCCAAGCTCTGGATGACGGAGCTTGTCTCCAAGGCCGTAAGCGTTGACTGCCATGATAGGTTATAACTTGTTTACCCCCACTCTCCATAGGGTGCAAAAGAGGGTGTGGTTCTCAACCGTCTTGACGGCTGGCTAGCGTCAAGAGATTATCCCCTCGAGGTGCTTGTCAGCCGACACTTGAGTATCAAACGTGACCCTCAAGACCATTGAGGGCCACGTGATTATGGGTACTACATAGTACACCATCACTGCGATTGCTTGCGTATTCTTTGCATGGCTAGTCGATATGAGAAAGCTTTGCGTCTGCGCGGTTTTATCTTAAGTCTCACGCGCGTTGCCGAAACGATTTCCGTATCAAAAGGTTATTGGTGGGATACGAAAGGAACTAGGAGTGTTTTGTTTTGTGTGGGTGATCTGACCTTTGTTTTTGGTGTAGTGTAAGGCGTGGTAAGAAGGATGTATCCTAGTCAACCGACGACGAGTCACGCTTGGGACTCGAGCCCCCCAATGCGTCGGTTTTCGTATGGGTCCGATGGAGTCGTGGGACCGCGTGTACCCTCTATGCTACATCGTATGAAAAACGCCCTCGGTTGGGCCACCTCTGCGATTGCAACTGATTAGCTTTCACACATGGTCCGGTAGGTCGGCCGGTATACGCTCGTTCAAGGGTGGTGACAGCCGCTTGGGCGGAGGTACGTTGTACCTCGCGTGACCCCATCCTATCGTAGGGGTTCGCCGGAGGTATGGCTGGCGCACTCGTTAGAGCGGCGCTGAAAGCTCCATTGCACCGTGATAAAAGGATAAATACCTTCACGAAATCCTGCGTGACACGACCTAGAGGGTCCTCCATGTGGGACCGATGCGCTCGACAGTGCGCAGGCCACTCGCGTCAGCAGCTAGCGCAGTAGAGCTTGCGCCAGGAGCAACAAGTGCCCGAATGCGTTGCCAGTGGCCAGGCCCTTTCTCTTATGGAAAGTGGCCGCAAGTGGTGAGCGGCCTGGCTCGTTTGGGCCTCTGCCCAAACGCTTCTGGTAGGCCCGCAGTCGCTGGGCCTCCGTCCCAGGGGAATATTACGCATGGCCTCTGGCAATTACCCGTGTTAAATTGCCAAGCGTGCTGTGTACAGCTTGTGCCTCGTGTCTGGCCCAGGGCCTGTCTGCGATTCTTTCAGAAAGGGCGTAGAAGCCTGAAGTAAATGTGGTTATGCACGGCCTGGGCTCACTCAACCAAATGACGCCGTTGAACTGACTGATTTTCCCCAGTTGCGACAAACACAAAAATAGGCCTCCCTTAACTTATTAGGCCCACCTTCACTTAGGCCGGCTTACTTGGTGAACAGACCCAAAAGGGCTGATCGAGGTCTTGAGCCTCGCAGTTATCATTATCGTTATTGTTATCATTATCGTAATTGCCATGACAACAAGGTGGTGGCGGCAAACCTGTCGGCTTCTCTGCTGTACATTGGGAAACAAGATGTTGCTGCTGATTGATAGGTTTGATAACTTTGAAACTTTTGAGAGTTTCCTTTCTTGAATACGTAATGATTGGTTTGCAAACTTTCAACTTTGGAATTTTTGTTGAAGTTTCGTTTTGTAAATGATTCCGTTTATGTGCACGTCTTGACAAGTGGAAACTTGAATGACCCCCCAAAAAAGAAAAACCCTTTGTTTTTGGCATTGTTGGTGTTATGGTTCGTTTTAGTTTGGAGTGCACGAGGCCCTGGAGACTGTCATTGAGAAGTTTGAGCTGCTATGCAATCCTCAAGAAGGGGTGGTTGATGCGAACGGGTGTGCAAATAATTCAGAGGCAAGCGTGATGCATCCTGTTGAGTGCATGACTCCAAGCCAGACAGCCAAGGCAATTGCCACTTTTGGAAGAAGACTGGGTATTTTTCGAAGTCAGGTTAGCTGCTTATCAGCCTTGTCACATTTTCACTCTCTCCACCCTCCC